CTCAATTAAAATGAAAATTGCGCGCCAAAACTTAACCGTCAGAAAGTATCAAAATGGCTTAAGCTGCAAGTTTTTACTAGTTTTGCGTTCAAGAACTCTTTCTGGAAATTTTCTCTTGATCTCAATTTTACTCTATTTTTCTTTTGCGCTCTCGCTGCAAGTACTTACTGGAAAAGTTATTGAATGGACCTAATTATCTCTCTTTTGCTGGTTTCTTGCAAGTTTTTGCATACGAAAACGCCATCCAGTAAAAACCAGTAAAATTAGTTCTGGACCACCTAGCGAGTAGCTTATAATAAGACCATATATGCAAGGAATAATCTGAAAATCTTACTGAAATCTATCTCGTAGTTTTTGAGTTAAGCCAAGTGGAAAAATAGCGCGATTTTTTTTTATTAAAAATTTTCGACTACAACGCTTTTTTGGTATAAAAATCAATACTTCCATAAATAATGAAAATTTTCGCCTGCGGCGCTTTTTTCGTAAAAATTGATAGTTGGACAAATAATGAAAATCTTGTACTATAAATTTTCGCATGCGGCGCTTTTCCATAAAAATCGATATTCGACAATGAAAATTTTTTATAAAAATTCGCGCGAGTTTTTATTACAAATTTTCGCCTGCGTCGCTTTTTCCATAAAAATTTATACTTCGATAAATCAATCATATTTTTAATAAATAATTGCGCGATTTTAAACTGCGGCGCTTTTTTTTTTTTTTTTGTAAATCAATACATCGGTGTATAATGAAAAAAAACCGTATTATGCGCGTTTTTATTGTTTGCCGTCTTCTGTGTTTTTTTTTTTTTTGAGTATTTTTGTTGTGTGGCAGCACCGACATTTCGGTTCAATTGGTCTACAAAGCAAATAGTGAGGTTGAATTCGACATTATTTGCAACTTTAAATGCAAATTACTTAAAAACTATAAGCCTCCGGAGGGGGGTTTCGGATTTAGAATCAGGGGGACCCGCTGTACACCCCCTAATTTTTTTTTTTCGAAAGCCTGGTTCCGTATTGGAAAATCTTCCCTATTTTTGTGTACTTGATGGATGCATTTTTCCAAAATATTATTTTTAGGCAAAAAAAAAACGGTTGTTTGAAGTAAATAATTTTTTCATTAAGAATTTTAGAATACGTTGTTATGACAAAATCATCTCCATTCAAGTAAGGCGCTCACTAATGTATGTAAAAGCATAAACAGACGGCAGCGTTGATCCGGATTGAGTCGAATCGATTTCGTTTTGTTGATGCGCAAAAGTAACTTATATCAAAATAATCTCGCAACGTTTCAGATTAATACTATGTTCACGTTGAGCCATTAACTCGAGTTTATGGGCCATTTTGGAGTTAAACGTTAAACACTATTCATAAACTCGGGAGTTTACCATACAAATAATTGCATTTATTTATTTATTTATTACGACTTCTTAGAGCCTAGTTCAAAAAAGAAAGGAAACACTTAAACCTAGTATTACATTAATTAAAAACATGTACAATATTTTCGTTTAACTCGCCTTAAACACTACTTTTATTTGGAGTCTAAGCGAATGCAACCCTTTTTTTGAGCGAATTTGGTTTGCGAGCGAGTGTGGTTTGTGATAATCCAAATCTGCAACCAACCTGTCAACAGTTAGCCTGTTCCCGTACTGCAGGATTTAATGAGAAATAGTCCGAGGTCGTTCCATGCACATAAGTCTAGAATATCAACAATCTAGCTATGCAAAAACCAAAGATGTGGCTCGATAGAACTTTTTGTGTTCTGATTTCAACCCTACCAAAATTATCTGGCTGAAGTAAAAAATAGAGAAGTTATCAATGGTTAAAGTAAAATTTTTTGATTTTCTTAAATATTTGGGCATTTCTCAGAAACTTCGAATTTTTTTGTGAAAATAATTTTTTTTTTTTCAAATCGTGAGCGCATGTCCAAAATTTTTAGTATACGTTCCTTCAGCTGTTAGAATACGAGATGCAACGTGGTGCAACGTTTTGAAGCAACGCACCAAACGTTATTAACGTTTTTTTTTTTATTTTGTTTCGCAAGTGGAAAGTGGCGTTATTTTAGTCCGATTTCGAAAATTTTTAACATATAGCTTTTTTGTGCCAATGTCAATAATTATACTGAGTTTGGTTCAAATTGATTAATCGGTTGCAGAGATACACATACAGCGAACCAAATAAAAACTGGAACGGGAGTTTTTTTAGTAAGTTTTGGCTATTTTAATATATTTTATTTAAAGTTTATTATTTTTTATGAAAATATAGCGACACGAAATAAATCCAAATTTCAGACTTTATGCAAAAATTATGAAAAATCTGCATGGATTGACCAAAATTTCTCACTTCCTGATCAGCATCTTTAGACAAAATTTTGGTATTCTGTTTTGTAGTTTATTAAATTTTAGCAAGCAAATTGCAAATTTTAAGTGTCTTGGACTTACCGTTGATTTTTGGAATTTTTTTTATTGACGGTGCTCCGCATTTTTTTTCATATAAAAAAAAAAAATCCGAACATAAACTGCCAAAAATCAACTGTACGCCCTAGCATCTACAGCCCAAGCTCTTTCATTTTATACCTCGTTTTCGAAAATCGAACGAACGGTCCTGATTTGATGACATGGACAAAAAATGCCTTTGGTATTATGTATATATATTGTTTTTTTTTTTGTTCTTTTCTTATTTCTTTTTCGCTCTGTAACTTTTTAATGAACAAATAAGAAAGTGGTGTACGAGGATCATAGTTCAATAGTATATTGTACAATAGAACACACATGTATTTGGCTAAATTTTCCAATTCCAGAAGATGTGCTAATAAAAAATATGCATTTTTACTTCTGTGCACGCATCGTAACCTTTTCAAGAATTTGTTTTTTTAACTATCTTCTAATGAGAGCACACAAGCCTGCCATGTCTAGATTAATTCGTCTTATGCTCCAGAACACTATAAAAGTTGTCCGATAACAGTTTTAGGTACGCACCAGCTGCAGTATACTATAAAAGCCGCGGGTGTCAGAATTTAAAAAACCGGAGTCACGCCACTTTGACTCTTGATAACTTATTTTCTATTGCAAGCACATACTAACGGGGTGCATTCGATTTTCCTCTCCAAATGCTACCAGTTAATTATAAACTGAAACATGAGCTATCAACGCACCAATTTTTGCAACGAAAAAATAAAAAAAATAGGAGTCACATTTATTTAAAAAAAAAGTCCCAATTTTATTTCTGAATTATATGCATATTTGGCTAGAAAATATGTACGGTGGTCCTTTTTTTTTGCATTTCATTGAGGCTGCGTTTCTTTATACATTCCAGATAATCGCATTTCACAGCCAGAATAAACAGAATGCGTTTTTTCCAAACTTTCAGAATGACTAAAGAAATGCAGCCTGAATATTATTTATTTTGAAAATTATTTTGGAAATAACTTCTGTTTGTGATAAAGTTCTTAAAAACACAATTTCTACAAACGAGTATTTCGAATTTTTGGTAAATAGTTAAATAATAAATATATCATTTTTATAGCATGCAATCTGTATATTTATTGCATGGCCGGAATAAGGGACACTTTGTCACGGAATAAGTTACATCAGAGATTATTTGCCACGGAATCAGAGACATATGAAGGTGTCATTAAATTTATTACCTAATATAAATAATAATAATTCTAGTTATGTTCCTTTATCGATAATTGGCAACTTATCTAGGTAACATTTTGATTTTTTAATATGCATTCGGTAGTTTTAGCGCAAAAAAAACCCTTCACCTTAAATAGAATCGTCAAAACGTCAGGGTATGCATATTTTTGCGCTGACTGTATAAGCGACTCTGCACTTTAAGTAAATTTGTTTTAATTGTACCATATTTTATAAGAAAGAAAGTACATACTTTTTTAAGGTATTTACAAAAATATTGAGTTTTAGAACGACCCACAGTTGTGTTGTTCCTTAAAAATGAAATTCTATTAGTTTTTATACTAGAATTTTGCAAAACGCATCATTTTTTTTATTGAAACCGATTTGCCATACATACATTATTTTGAGTGGAGGTGGTAGATAAGTAATTATCGCTCTTGAGGTCACAGCTCTTACGGGTTAAGAATCGTATAAATTTTTTCACTTAAATATATTCTCACATACAGATACCTACCTACAATAAATAAGAATTTTGCCAAATGAAACCATAAATGGCAAATGAGCAGAGGAAAACGTAATAAAGATATGTAATAAAATGCAGTGAGCGGAAAAAATATACTAAAAATACAATTTCATCGGGAATTGGAAAAAAGTATAAGTTACTGGTAGGCAGAGACAGAATCTGAAAAAAAACCACAAAAAGTAAATGAAATAAAATAAAACCGTGCTCTTGTTGCTGTGTTGATGTATGTATGATTTGAGTTGTTGCTGGTTTTTGGTATGGTATCTATGTATATCGTTCGTCGAATGCGCGAGGCATAATTTGTATTCGCTGAATTTGAAATAAAAAAATAATAATATACTTATATACGTAAAATTATATAGCAATAGCGTTGCAAAATAAAGCGCATGAAATGAAAAGCTCACAAATAAAATGATAAAAAATAAAATAAAACATAGCATAAGAGAAGAAATACTGTTCGAAATAAAAACGCAAAGAAGTGAAAGTATTGTTTGTGCCTCTGCGACAACGACGGCGACGACGACGACAGTGCAGCATTCACAAACCAATTCATCCACACGTTAAAACTGGCGTCTATCCGTTCATTCGTCCGCCGTAAGTCTGTTTGTTCGTTCGTTGGAACGTCTGTGCAAGTAGTATATGCAATCAAAACTAACAACAATAGCACATTCGACCCAGTCCGAATAACATGAGTTGTAGTAGTCAGTTGCTCCTCGTCGTCGTCGGATTGTCGGTCGATTAGTTGGTCTTTTTGGCCATGCATTTATGATAGTATGTGTTCACATAGATTTTGATGTGGTTGTGTGGTGTGGTTGCTTTGATTGGATTGATTCGCTCGCTCACCTCTTTTTTTGTATGTGCTTTTTGTCTGTCCTCACTTCCATCTTCACCGCAAGGCTGCTTTTGCATCGCGGTTTTGCTCAGCGGCACTAACGGTCCTCACCATTGCCATCGTCAACACCATCCATAGGCATCGCTATAAAAATTTTCGCCACAGACCCGTCAAAACCATAATTAACGGTTATGTATGAGACACAATACCAAATACTTTATCGTATCTTAATTCCAGCTCCACTTACAGACACTGCAAATTTTAATTTCCGAACAATTTGCAACCTTGTTATTGCCGCTAGTAACACATAGTACCTGAATCATTGTACACTATATGTAGGTTGTTATAATTTCTGCAGAATTATATATTTCTGTAGGAAACAGGTTAAGAGAAAATAATTTTTAAATTTTTGTGTGCTAAGATCTGAGCCCGAACCGCGAAATCCATGATCAAATGCCATTTCATTTCTTTCGATTCGAACCGAGTAATCATCTGATAATGCCGTGATACGGGCCGTCGACATTTCAAATACCATAATTACTATTATCGATGTTTTAAAATAATCATAATTTTTTTAAATTTTAACAAAAAAATCAACATGTTGAAGGTGTTGCCCATTTTTCCATATAATGCATTTGTCGAACTTTGTTGAAGAGAAAGAATTGCCAAAAATCAAAGTAGTGTGCCCGACAGGGTGGTGTCTTTTTCTCGCTTGTGTTTAATTTATATGTATGTATGTATGTATGTACATATGCTAGGGCCGGTCAGTTTTAGTATAGCATAAAGCGATTCTACGTGTAATTCTTAGCAAATTTGCCGAAGGAACCGCGGGTCTAAAATCAATTTAGAGTTGCCAAATTGCGAAAATAGGTTTCGAAGAAAATGGAAAATTTTTCACTCTTGCACCCTCTGATGGAAGTTTTAAGAAGAAGATAAGTGCAGAAATGGATTCCTCATACCAAAATATTCCTTATAGAATATTTTATACAAAATTTAAGCACTTTACGACACTACAGCAGAATGCTAAGAAACCTATTTTCGCAATTTGGCGAACTCCAAATTGTAGTTGGGTATTATCCTTGACGGCGTACCAATTCCTGAAAATTCTTGGGTGACCTTTGATCGTCTGAAGTATAATAGAGCAAACAAACAACAAAGTCCTCAAATATTTCGGGGGCAGCACTTGGGGCAAAGACAAAGAAACGTTGTTGGCAACGTACAAGACAATTAACCGGTTGCCTCTAAACTATTCAGACTTGCCACAATACAGCACTCGGAATAGGTTGGGGCCCAAGTAGCTAAGGCACCAGCGATACGCAGTGGTAACATCTGCACACCACACAGACGCAGCTCTACTTGAGGCTTAATCTGCAACCTGGGGACATGCATCATTTCCACCATGTTTAACCCCAATACGTGAGCAGACACCTTCATTCTTGAAGTAGCGGTAAAGTAGTTAGAAGAAGGCCTTCCTTTTCCTCTGCTACAAGCAGCGGATTTCAATGCTAAATCAGGGTTGGAGCGATTGTTTCCATGTGTAGGACATGGAAAATGCAACGGGCCCGCTGTATCATTTCACTTACTTTTCGATTATATAGAGTCTAAGGTACCAGATTAAGATTATATGTACGACATGTTGTGCTTTAAGTTATTTTCCACTATTGCAAAGCTCGCAGGCATTACACGGTGGTTAGAGTAGTAAGCTTTAAAATTTAAAAATTTAACTTCAGGAAAACAATTTTTGACGCTCAAAACCTCTATCAGATTACATGAAAACTACATTGTATTGGTAACATTTTCAATATGCATGCGAAGCCGCACCGATTCGCCAATTTTTGATTATGCTTGAATGTCCGGTAGCTTGTTGTGGGGACTTGTCACTTACAAAGTATGGAGTTACAAGCCTATGTGCGTGCGATCGTACGTGTGAATATTGTTGCATTTGTATGCGCGTATCCAAATTCGTCCCCTTTTCACATTCACATTTTGATAAAAAAAAAAATACTGCCATAAATATGTTCATACATAAATGTGAGGCACAACCTTAAACCAAAACCCCAAAGCCAACGCCAGTCCACAATAGCGGTTGCTATACGAATAGAAACTGCCAATGTATGTACATGTGTATATTGTAAGAGCAGCGCGACTGTCAGTCGTAATACTCCATAGCATATTCATTCGTATTTACGTGTGATGTATGCACATTAGGGTGCCTCCCACTTCATATAAAAAACAGCGGTACTGTTTGTCCATCGGAATTATAAAATTTATTGTGGTTGTTCACACTTGCCTGGTTATGTGGATATATATTTTATTCACTACAGAATAACAATTTTTAACCACACAACCTGATAACCAAGCAAGTGTGAACAGCCTAATTGTATTTTAAGACTTCCGCCACAACATTTCGGAAGAAATATTAAGAATCGCGTGACCTAGACCCATTTGAAAATACCTTCAAAAATCTAGTTTTTAATAAATAAAATTAGTTTTAATTTTTTTTTTTCAAAAATCACCACATAAAAATGATTAAACATTTTATAAACGGAATCAAATTAATAATATTGTTGAAGGCGTTTTCAAAACGGGCTAGCTGACGTAAAGCTTAACATTTTTTCCGGTGGAAAAAACAGCAACCTTTTTTGATGAGGCACCGTAATGCACATACATATATATATATATACGAACCCGTACCTCGTTGACTGGCTCTTTGTCAGTTCGTCTATTTAGTCGTTTGGTTACCGATTTCCTTGTTCAGTTGTTATTTCACTTTTATTATTTTATTTGCTGTATGTATTAAGTAAATTGTTTTTGTGTTTTCATCGAGCTTTGCTTCGAATTGTCTTAGTCTGAAAACTTGTTTTTTTCGCATTTCATTTTATTTTTTCATTCTTACATACATGCCCCGCTCATTCGCATAAAGCTTTAAATTATATTTTGAATGCAGCTTTAGGGTAATTGGTGCAATACTTTTGTAATTGTTATCGTTTTTAACATATTTCTTTCTTTATTTTTCGTTTACCGCAAATCTTCCAAGCACTGCGAAGTTTGGTCGGTTGGAATGCCCGCACCTACATATGTATGTATGTATGTGTTTTTGCACAAAAACCTCATAGCATGTATCTATCTACATATTTGAGTTAAATAATTTAAGTTGTAAGCTGCTGTTTCTGTTTCTGGCATTGTTACCCCCTTCAAAAAAAAATAAAAAATAAAAAATACTAGTTGAAGCACAGATTGTGAGCTATGTGTGCAGTTATGACCGTTAGCAGCGATCGGTAGGCTGATCGACCGGGCTAAAAGACAAACGAATAATTGGTTACTTGGTCGGTCGATTGAGTTTTTTTTTTGTCTTCTGACTTTACGCCTTGGTAACTAACTCGAACGTTCATTTATTTCATTTTATCTCCTATTTTTTATGTTTTGCATTAAATACCTTTTGAGATACGAAATTCGCTAGACTGGGTTTAGTTAGGCATACAAGCCTTGCTTACCAACTAAGTAGTATAGCACCTTTCATTGACGACCCATTTACCATCGAATGCACATGTTGCTTTGATAAACTCAAATCTAAGCTTTATCATGACGCTGTTGGCTATTCAAATGAGAGTAAGAAGTAGATGGGCTTACTTTTATATTAAGTATATGTATTTAATTGCAGTAATGCGGAAATGAATTCACATATAGTAGCGTCGAACTTTACCTTGGTAATAGCAAATCAAAAGGCCATTCCTATGGCGGTCGGGTCTACGTAACTGGATCGACCCATATTGAGTGAGGGTGGTTCCGTGGGCAGAAGTTCACGTAAGTGAACTTCCATTCAACTGGGAGCGGCCAGAAGTGATTCTTGTGCGTACGGTTCAAATTGCAGCTCACAGTGAACGGATATTTATACCCACGTATCCTCTGGGCAGCAACCAAACACCCGTTTGGGAGCGAGCTAAAGTGAGAAGGCGTAAAATTTTGCGTGCGCTGGGTTTGGATCCCGCCACGTTAAAACCCGGCCCAATGAAAAAGAACAAAAAGCATGATACCCCCTTTTTTTTGATGACGACCACGACGAACGTATAAAGGACTATGAATTTAGGGTATGCACCTGGAATATCCGGATTCTTAATGGCGATGGTGCCTCTGCCCGGCTGATTGATGTCCTCGGGAAGACTAAGGCTGACATCACCGCCATCCAAGAAATGCGATGGACGGGGCATGCCAAGGTAAGCATGGAGCTTTGCGACTTCTACTAAAGTTGCCACGTAAAGGAGCGCAAATTTGGTGTTGGATTTGTGATGGGAGAGAGATTCCGTCGCCGAGTCCTAGCGTTCACCCCGATGGACGAACGTCTAGCCACAATCCGCATCAAAGGTAGATTCTTCAACATCTCGCTCATCTGTGCCCAAGCCCCTTTGGAAGAGAAGGACGAGGCGTCCAAGGATCTCTTCTATGATCGCTTGTAGCGTACATATGAGCGCTGCCCCCGACACGATATAAAAATCGTACTTGGTGATTTCAATGCTAAGGGGGGAAAGGAAGGGACCTTCCGCGGTACTGTAGGAAAATTCATTTGGATTACATGAACCTATTAATCCAAATTTCAAACTTTGTGCGAAAATCAAACTTGAATAAAACTTCATTGTTTTAAACTTTTTAATCAGAACCAAAAAAATTTGAGTATGCAATTTTATAGCTCATTAAACTTTAATGTAATATGATAAGTGCAAGTGTGGAATACATATCTTAAAATTTGCACCAATTACTTACAGTTACAAGTTTGAAAAAGTAGACGACTTCGTTTATTTGGGAACCAGCATTAACACCAATAATAATGTCAGCCTTGAAATCCAACGGAGAATCCCTCTTGCCAACAAGTGCTATTTAGGATGAGTAGGCAATTCAGGGCCCGATTCATGGTATTCAGTATCAAACGTGAGATCACGGCACTCGATAGCGAGTGTGCTTCGCCCGTTTAAGTTGTATTGTGAAGAAAACGGCTGTCATTTTTTGTTTCTTTCTATTCGAAATGGGTATTCGCTCGATCACACTATAAAAGCTTGATTATGGCAACTTAACTTAACTTAACGGAACGTAGAACTTAGATGATTAAAATGAAACAGATTTCGACGTGGCATTAAGTTACGCTAAGTTTCGGCTGTTCAATTATAAGCAACACCCATTTAACAGAATTTTTAAGAGTGAGCCGTAAGTTACGTTAAGTTGCTATAATCAGACCATAAGTCACTTATCATGCCTGTGCTGGTGTATGACGCGGAGGCATGGGCAATGAAAACATCTGATGAAGCGACTCTTGGAGTTTTCGCGAGAAAAGTTCTGCGAAAGATTTACGGGCCTTTAATAATCAAAAACTCT